CTCGAAACAATTCTAAAACTCGATCTTTGGGATAGCCTTTAGTTCTTTCAGCGATGCGCTTTTAATGTCATCTATGCTTGCAAAACGACGGCCCTTTAAGGTTCTCTTTATTTTTGGGAATAGGAAAAAGTCAGACAGAGGCATGTCTGGCGAATATGGAGGCTGGGGCATCATTACAGTATTGTTTTTGGCCAAAAATTTTGTTCAAAATTTAACAATTTCTTCTTCTCTGATGCTTTATAACCATTTCTTCCACTTTTTCCATGTTTTTATCGGTTCTTAATGTACTTGTGCGTTCGGTGTCATCTTCAACGTCTTCACGGCCATCCTGGAAACTCTTATACCACTTGTAAACTCTTGTTTTACTTATAGCAGACTCACTATAGGCCTTTGTTAACATTTCACAGAATTTATTTCATTTTTTAAGCAAAATTGGATACAAATTCCATTTCTTTTAACGAACGAAAAATCGCCGAGCTCATAAAACACGTCTAACCTTAGCGGCTGCCACAGACAAAGTAAACAATGAAAACAGCTAAAGTTTTTATCATACTTCGGGGACATGTATACCAACATAATAAAGAAAATTTTATGACAACCGGACCCTCCGAACCCGCGAAATTTAACAATTCCCGTTATTTTCTGAACACACCTCGTATACTCGTATAATCGTGTTATTATACCAACATAATTTTTAACGAAATAAAATACACCAAACATGATTATTATTTAAATGCAGCATATTGACATCAATAAATAATTAAAACGGCATAAAAATGATTATTCAATATTTACTCATAATATTAAATATCGAATTATGTTACATTAGGTAAATCTGGCCAAATAAATAAATCCGGTTTGGAAAATATGGTGATTTTATAATCCCATTAAAGTAATTAATTTGTTTATTAAATGGATATACGTAGTTAAACGAATAAAGCCTATTGTGCACTATACAAACATTAAATAGAATTATTATAATAATATATTATTATTAAATATCGAATTATTATTAAAAAGTTTTACACATAGCGAAATTTTCATCGGTAAATCAGTGGCGGCTCGTGAGTGTATAAGAGGGTGAGGCTACATGAGATTAATTTTTCCTAAATACGAATACGCGTTGACCTTTTTTAAAATGGCCGATAGCCTCAAAAACATAAATTCGTTTTTTAACTTTTTAAACTTACCGGTATTTTGAAAACCTAACCTTAATGGAAACTCAATACGTCCTGTTGCTTAATAAAAATAAATAATTTACCTAAAATCGTGTACTTCTACACTTCCTGGGTAAAATCCCACTTTTGTTCAGTGTAAATTAACACTACTTTGGAAAAGCTCTAATTTTACAAAGGTACTTTTACTCTTTTAGTGCAAACTTCTAGTGTAAATTAACACTATTATTTGAGTAAAACATATTTGTGGTAGTGAATAAAACGAAAAGGTAAATAAAGAGAAACATTTATTTGGAACAAAAATCTATGACAATTATCAAAATCGGTGCGTTTAAAAATATAATTTTATATTTAAGTCGTATGGCTGGCTTAAGCAAAATGGTTCCTTAAAACGTAAAATTTTTAGATCAATGCAATGTTTTACTGGCTGTCAACTTGTAAGCAATGAATTATCTTGAGAATGCATCAGTAATCCATTTTTCTGTTATAAAAAATGGGTGATCCCATTGGTAGAGAGGCGTCAGGCGGCTGTATGTCGGGGATTTACCACACGTGTACAAATTTTCCCTAATATTAATAAACATGTAGATATAGGTTAATATAACAACCATTACGCTTGAAAATAAAAAGTAAACCAAGTGTGTATGTATTCATATTATTAATTTTACCCGACCTACTGCCGTAAATTATTGATACATACAGAGTGACCCATTTGAAAGCGGGCCACCCTCATAATTTTTTTATTTATGGAGTGATTTTAGCGATTTTTATTTGAAATGTGGAGGGGGCAAAGGTGTATTTTAAAGCCAAGCGGCGTCCAGTTTTTTTAAAAACGAAGGCCCACTAGATCACATTTAGAGGCTGAAAAATGCAGATTCTATATTAGCGATTTTTTTAGAAAAAATCCGCGTACGCCACTGGAATTGGCGTCCTCTGAAATAGATCTATACCAAGTTTCACGAAAAAATATTCAACATTAACGATTCTATGACTAAATTACTGTCAAGTTGTTTATTATCCATTAAGAAGCTTTTTATCTAGTAGCCCATGCGATATTAAATGTTTTACATGCATTAACTAAAATTAATAAATCTCGACTCCACAATCTTAGTCTTAATTAAACATGCTCTAAAAATACAGCTCCACAGGGATGAACAATATTCATAATAGTAGGCTTTGCAATTACTAAAGTCACAGATGACAAGTCATCTAAATAAAAGACGAAAATGTCAAAACTTTACATTTAATGTAAGTATTGAAATGTACGTACTGTCAATAAGTATGGCTCATAATTTAACGTTACTACATAAGATTGAAATAGTAAAACTTCATGGTGACAGAGACAGGTCCGGAAGGGAAGTATCTCGAATTTTTAATGGCAGACATCCAGAACTTCAAAATATTAGCAAGTCTACCGTTGTGAGAGTGTGCAATATTTTTAATGAATATGGAGCTGTATCTAAGCACATTTTAAAAAATATTAATGTAGTACCACGGCCAAGAAGAAGCAATGAACGAATTCAAAATTATTTCATCGAAAATCCGAGAAAAAGTTTAAGAATTGCAAGTTTGGACCTCCAGTTACCACGGGAAACAATAAGGAGAAACCTTAAAAAATACAGTAATACGAAGCCTTTTAAACCAAAATTTCTCCACACCTTAGAAGAAGGTGATAATAATAAGCGAATGGAATATTGCTTATGGTGCCAAGGAGAAAACCTTAATGACAGAAATTTACTAAAAAAGATTTTGTTTAGTGACGAGGCAACATTTACTACCAATGGGACGGTAAATTCACAAAACACGAGGCACTGGGCCCAAGAAAATCCCGAAACGTATGGTGCGGTATATTAAATACCAGAATAATTGGCCCCTTCTTTTTTGAAGTCAATTTGAATGGCCAAAGTTTTTTAAATTTTTTAAACAATGAATTCTCGGATGCTATTGATGAACTTCCACTTGCAGAAGTGGTTGGTCTACTGTTTCAGTTAGATGGCTGTCCTATTCACAATGCCAGGGATGTGAAAACGTGGCTGGAGGAAAATTTTCCTAATCGGTGGATCGGGCGAAATAGTAGATTAATACAATTTCCTCCCAGGTCTCCCGACTTAACGCCCCTAGATTTTTTTCTATGGGGGTTTATTAAAGAAAAAGTGTACAAAACTCGTCCAACCAACGCAGAAGAACTCCGCGAAAGAATAAGACAGGCATGCACTGAAATTAGACCACACCAATATGGCTAACATTGAAAGATGATACAATAAATGCATTCAATTAAATGGAGATTTGGTTGAAAAATCTAGAATTTAAAATTAATTCATGTTTGTTAATTTAATATTATTTTAGAATAAAGTTGTAAAACATTTATTATCGCATGGGCTACTATAGTACTACTATAGATAAAAAGCTTCTTAATGGATAATAAACAACTTGACAGTAATTTAGTCATAGAATCGTTAATGTTGAATATTTTTTCGTAAAACTTGGTATAGATCTATTTCAGAGGACGCCAATTCCAGTGGCGTACGCGGATTTTTTCTAAAAAAATCGCTAATATGGAATCTGCATTTTTTAGCCTCTAAATGTGATCTAGTAGGCCTTCGTTTTTAAAAAAACTGGACGCCGCTTGGCTTTAAAATACACCTTTGCCCCCTCCACATTTCAAAAAAAAAATCGTTAAAATCACTCCATAAATAAAAATATTATGAGGGTGGCCCGCTTTCAAATGGGTCACTCTGTATATATATTATAATATAGGTCGGGTATGGACATCCTTTTAACATATTGGTTTTTATTGAGTATTAAGGCTTATAGAAAAAGGAAGTATAATACTTACCACAAAATAAGAATGTCCCCTTATGGATTCACCGTAATTAAAATCTAACTGAAAAAAAATGCCACACTTCCACAACGCAGTATCTCCGGATATGCACTGCTTAGGTAGATAGGTACCAACCAAACATTTTAAAACGCATTTCGGTTATTACCAGATTTTTCAGTCTATTTTGCCACTATTGGTTAAATTGTGATACAATGTGCACTAGTAGTGTAAAGAAAAAAGAGCTCTTAGTAACATCAAAACAAACAAATAAATTGGCATGCACTGTAGTGTACATTTTGTCACTATTTAACTTATTAAGGGGTAATAAACACTCGCATTAAGTTTTTCTACCCTTTTAATTTATTTTAATAATAAATAGTGTGAATGTTCCAATGAATAATATTCATATTATTTAATGTGTTTAATAAAGTTAATAAGCACTAAATGCTACCTAGTGTATTTTGTATTGAAACTTTTACACTTACAAATCAACTCTAATATTTTTACCCCTACACTTACACAGGCAAAATTTTTTACTGTGTGTATTGGTATACCATAATCATAGAAAAAACAATAATTTATTTACCCGATGCAAATCATTAAACTCTGGAAACACTTATAATCACCATTTGAACATTTTCATTGCAAATATAGGATATTTTTTTTCGGAACCAAAAATACGAAGAAAACAAAAACAGCATTATAGATCAAAGGCCAATCAAATTACCCTTACTAATGTCGTCAAAGGTATTTTTTTACCAGATTATTTGTTCAGTGACCGGTCCTGAATATTTCAAACAAACCGAAAAATCCGCGGGATTTTTTGTTTAATACGGCGATTAGGTGTTCTAGCAATTGCAATTGTTTTTGGTAGTTGACGATATAATCCATTTTTGAATTATTTAAAAAAATAACATTCCTGAAACTCGCCCTCAGATAGCATGAGGCGCCATCTACATTGCTTCACCCCAATTGTTAGCAAAGAATCCTGCAAAATCCTGACACACTGAAACCTCGCTACAGCAGCTAAGAAATGTCCCGAATATCGATTACTGTGAATTTCAGTTTCAAGTTTACATGTTTTGATATACCTAACCACTTTATTGGGAAGAAAATGAAACAATAGTTAATTTAGGTGAGTAAAAGTTTTATTATTTCATGAAATGTTTGATTTTGTAACACCCCTTGAGAATCTGTCAACATTGTGTTTTGGGGTCAAAATAATTCTTAAAAATGTCAATTTTTAATGCCTCTGGATGTAATTTATTTTTTTCAATCAAAATATTTTATATTATTTATGGAGATAAACCCTGGATGTATACAAATATATTTCCTATGATTTTTCAATTTCCGTATTTACTTAACTGACAAGGGATCATTTTACCTCTCACCATTGTATCGCCCCTCTATAAAATCTGTCAACATACATCCCAGACAACCTAGCAAATTATCCTTTAATAGTACCATAAAGTCATGAATTATTAAGCAGAACGGAACAGGTGTCCCCCTATCATTGAGAGAACACCCTCTGTACTTCGTATGTCGAGAAAATCGCAGAGGGCTGGTGCTGTCGGGGCACACTTGACAGCGACACTTTTAAAGCACATATGCACCAACACGCCCTCTATGCCCGGTAACTCGAGATGCTATCTGAGACTAATGACTCTATCCCTTGGGGGTCCGCAGGGATCCCTTCATTAGCCAAGTTCTGCGATAAGCATTGAGATCAAATAGAACGATGATTTTTTATTAAAATAAAAACAATATGTTTCTTAAGTCAGTTTGTAAAGAACTAAAAAAGATGGGGACAAATATTCCTCATTTTAGATAGTTGGCAACTTGGCAAGTTTATACATAGGTTTTAATGTATATGTGTTATGGCTAATGTGCAAACTTGGATAGTTTATAAACTAGCTGGATAGTTTATAAACTAGCCAAACTGTCAGCTATTTTAATTGAAAACATATTTTCAACTAAATTAGCGGCTAGTTTACAAAATAACCAAGGATCTTGAAATTATTAGGAAAACTAAAATAGCTGGATAGTTTGTATACTATCCTATTCAGTTTGGCTGATATGAAAACCAAAATTTCTAGTAACACAAAATAGCCAAGCTTTAGCTAGTTTGTAAACTAACCAACCAATTATCTGGCTAATTTATTAAAAAAGTAAGGTTACGGCATTGTTTTTCGTTTTGCCGGCTAAACCGGATTTGTTTTGTGCATTTTAACGTTTTTAAAATGAATCATAGGCAAAATTTTAACGCTTCCTTGTTAGAAAACTCAACAACACAACCCTACCGAAAATAGTTTATTGAATTAACAATTAATTTATTGTTAAATTTACGGGTAAATTTTCACTTTAGCGACTTTTCCAAAAACGGCAGGAAAGTTGCCAAAATGCCAAAAATAGGTGTAGAGGGATGTAAAAGTGCATAAACAATCGGCGCAGGGTGAAAAAGTTGTATAATTATCGCATATTTAATAAAAAAAGGGGCTGATAATTGAAGTGACTTACCGTGATTTTCTGTGAAAAAGAACATGCAGCGAGCCAAAAATACGTATCTAATAGACGTAGAATTTAAAAGTGGAAGTGAAAAACCGTGAATTATGAAAAACAACGTCAAGAATTGAGGAAAATGCAATTTTTAAAATCAGGTAATTTGAGGTTATGAAGATTAGCTGTCATCTTGGTTATGCAGGTACACTAAAATGGGCAAAGGTGGGCGAAACCAACCCAAACCAACTTGGTTTCGCCCACCTTTGCCCATTTTAGTGTTTGTTAAGTTTGGGTTGGTTTAACCAACCCAAACTTAACAACCCAACCCAAGCGACCCCGCCCCATTGAGCAATAGAGGACCTCTATTGCTCAATGAGGTGTGTAGTTCGCGAACGAACTAGTTCAAAAGATCGAATTTCGTAACTGAACTAAAAGATTCAATCACCAAAACTAAAAAGAGCGAATCAATTCGAACTAAACTAAAAATCCGTAGATATATTTCATTATATCTAATAATTACTAATGGATTTTTTTTCACGCAAATTCGTAATTGTCCCTAAAATAGGCAACCAAATCAACCACTTAATGGTCTTGGCAACAGCGTACCATTTTGACCAGCAACAATTCCAAGAACACATCTTTGGTGCAAATCAATCAATCAATCTCAATATAGTTCACTTGAACTACTAGAGAAGTGTAGTTCGCGAACGAAACTACGTAAATCCGACAAATCCGATTATAAATCAGTGAACTAAACGAACTAGTCTTTTGTACTATTCACTTTAATGAACGAGATCAAAAGATCGAAATCAGGAAAGTGAACTAAACTTCCCACCTCTAATAGAGGTATAATATATCTATGGGCAGGCTGGATTGTGAACCTGCATAACCTCAAATTACCTGATTTTAAAAATTGCATTTTCCGCAATTTATGACGTTGTTTTTCATAATTCAAGCTTTTTCACTTCACTTTCAAATTCTACGTCTATTAGATACACTTTTACATCCCTCCACACGTATTTTTTGCATTTTGGCATTTTGGCAACCCCCAATCCCTTTTTCGGAAAAGTCGCTAATGTGTAAATTTAATTTATTTTCAAAATAATTTTTGGAAATAGAAATTTTTAAATCATGAACTTTTGCTTTTTCTATTATGGAGCATCCTGTAAAGCATAAGTATAAAATATTAAGGTAGCTTTGATTTCTTGTCAAAAGTTGACACAATTCGTAAAAATAATCATTGAATAAAATGGATGAAATACTTTTTGAAGAAAAACCTTCGTACTTTAAGGATGGCAAGCGTAAAGTGGACTTTGTATTGGTGATAACAAAAGTGAGTGCCATAGAAAACGAGGAAATATTGACAATATATCTGAGGAATTTGCTAAACATCGGAATAGAGTTGGAGCAGTCTTACGGCATTCAGCAGGCCGTGATATTCGTGAAGTTGCACCTGCCTCCGGATTTGTGGGACGTCTTGAGAGTCCATTACCCGTTGTGGGAGAGAGTGAGAAATGCGCATGCCCCCATTTACGAATTGAAGACCGATGGGTTGGGTTTTACCGAAACCCCCTTGACTTACATGGATCCAACCAAGGAAGAGGACCACGGCGGAAAAATTTTCTTCATACACAAGGTTCTTAAATTGGCGAAATACGGCGAAAAAACATCAGAAAGGGGATTGGACGGACTTATGGGAAGAAGAATTATTGCCAGAGCGTACGGACTGCACGATGGTTTTATACAGAAGGACTTGGATGATGATGACGTTTTAAATGATAGGAGCTTGCTGCGAAAATACTGGGGAAATTTTACTTTGTTTTATAAGGCACAGCCGTTGGATTTTATAAAAAATTATTACGGTGTGGAGATTGCCTTCTATTTCGCTTTCTTAGAGTTTTATGCGAACATGACGATTATTCCTTTAATATTGTCAATAGTACCGATTTTCTTTTTTATCTCCAACTACTACACGACTATGAATTCGAACGAGTTAACTGATATTTGTGCACGTCAAACTGTTCTTTGCGGTAGCTGCATCCTGGGATATAAATGCATAACCAAAAATTTTTTACTCCAGTGTAAACTTCTACAGTACACGATAATATTTGATAATCACGGCACCACTTTTTACTCGCTATTAATGTCTTTATGGGCGTATTTTGTGTTGATTATGTGGGACAAACGCGAAAAGGACCTTATTAAACGTTGGAATTTAGCAAAGTTCGAACTTAAAAGTAACGAAAGAACCGAGTTTAAAGAGCAACTGCCATACAGAAGAAAATCGCCGCTGACTGGAATGAAGGAAGGCTACATGCCTTGGCCAGTGTTCCTTGGAAGAAAAATTCTTGTATTTACTTGTTCTATTGCTATGATTGTAGTACTGGTGCTAGCGTTATGGCTTAACGTTAACTTAATGATTGGGCTTAAAATAATATTGGAAGACTATTGGGAGATTACTCTGGAATTACAGGACGTATTTATCTATTTAAGTCAATATTGTTTCATGTCATTAATTTCCAATTTCATTACCAAGTTTGTAATAATGTTGTGCGACTTGGAAAGACATAAATATCAAACAAAGTACGATAACGAATTTTTGGTTTTGAAATATTTATTTAGGACAATAAATCAGTTTGGGGTGCTCTTCTATTTTGCTATTGGTAAAGGCTTGGTTTATAATATACCACATCCAAAGAAAAGTTTGAATGTATGGGGTTTTTTGATATACGACAAATATCAGCCACACAATAGCTTCCTCACCCTTCTCCTTGTACAAACAATACGTTCGTTTTGTAATTTAGTTGGTCCTGTTTTGGATGTTTTATTCGCGTATATAAAAAAAGCCACCAAGACCAAGGCCAAAGTAATCCTACACCAATACGAAAACGAGTATGGTTTAGATAAAATGGATCAATTCAAGCTATCTATCCAGTTCCTGAATCTGATGACTATGCACGGATCCCTTACGATGTTTGCTTTCGCAAACTACTTTGCCCCAATTTTTTACAGCTTAACTATATTCATCCTTATGAGAATCGAAGCCTACCGTTTCGTTAAAATATATAAAAGACCGATTCCGAAAATCATCCACGACCTCGCGTCCTGGCGACAAATTTTGAAGTTTATCACTTACACCAGCATACTAGTTAACTCAGTTTGTCTAATGTTTTCGTCTGAAATCATCATACATCAATACTTTGATTATGAAGGCTTCTTTAAGATGGCTTTCTCCCAGTTTGACATGCATGAAATTAACCCGAATATGTATCCGAATAATTCTATATGCTTGTATAGGGACATGCGTTTCCCCCCATTTCACACCAAAAGATACCAGTTTAATGAGCATTTCTGGAACATACTTACCTATCAAAATGCAAGCATATTTATAGTGATTAATAGCGTTTCTTTGGCTGTTTTGATTTCGAAAAAAATTGCTACCGCTATTTGGAATACATATTATCAAAGTCATAATAAGAAATAAATTTTATAAACGTGTTTGTTTTTTATTTTTCGTTAATGTTTAAAAAGGTAAATTTTCAAATACCGACAGACAGGTGTTTTGACCTATATTGGGTATCATCAATGTCGACACGACACTGTCGAGCAACTTGTAGTAGTGGAACACCCAAAACAAAGAAATACCTGAGCTTATATAACATGGTTGGTAAGCCAACAGAGGCGAGATGTAAGAACATCACGTGATCCACACCGTCTAACGACGTGTCGCGACGTGGCCTTTTCCGCAATCGATACATACTATGCAACCAAGTAGGTTCAATTCTTTCTTATAAATATTACCAGTAATGGGTCAAGAAAGTTTATTGAAGAAACTAAGAAAATTGTATGTTTAAAATGTCATGAGTTACTATATTGTATATTATATTTAAATATATTGTTTATTTACCTTAAACATAAAAGTATCTTAATTTTTACTATATTTTTTATATATTTGTAATATATTATAATATTAGATGTACACCTTACATTTGATTAAATCATATAGTAAATATTTCTATTTGTAGATAGTAAAATCAATTTACTATACGAACATATTAAAAATTAAAATATATATTATACATTTATGATTAAGTAATATTGGTGTTGTAATCTTTACTAAAATTGTATAATAAAAAATAGTAATAGTAATCTTAATATTGTATTGACGAATGTATAATATTGTTACCCTAAAAATTTCTTAAAGTAAATTTTACTATATTTTTTATCTAAAATTTACTATACATTTCTCACCGTGCAAGGCAAGTTTTGCTAACTTGAAAAGTTAAAGGCATTTTGTTTAAAATATTTTAGAAAAATAGACTTAACGCTTTTAAAATTTCAAACCAATATCTTTTGTCATTCCCCAGAAATTCCTAATGAACCACGAATGTCAAACCTTGTGTACTATTTTTCAAGCATTTAATTTAATAATATTTTGTCACATCATTTTTGGTTAGGTTCAACTGACATGATGACATTTAAGCTTTATTTAATATATAATAACACTAGTTTGGCTCACTAAACGCGAAAATCACACTAAAAATTTTTTGGATGGAATTTTTTTCAAGATATGAATTTTCAATTCCTTTTTTTTAATTTTCTGAGGTGTTTTGACATTTTTGAGTATCTGTTTGATTTAAACCCATCCCAGGACGAAATGTAAATTTTCGACCTCAAAGTTTAAGAGGGCTCAAATACCTTCAATTTAATGGCTTGTTTGACCAAATCGATCATTTAGATTAGTGTAACTTGACTTTTGAACTATAATTCAAAAGTATAATAATAATATTAAGTTTTTCTATATAGACTTATAATATAAAAATTATTGTACGCTTAAAAAATATATATTTTTTCAATAATTAACATCAATACTTAAAAAATGGAGATGAGAGGTTGCCACATAGAATCTTAGTGATTACCAGAAGATAACAATAAAATTCCTATTAAATTCTTTATTCAGTTTTTGAATACAATTTCGGCAATAAAAACACAGAAAGCAATCCAATGCATACAGAAAAGAGATACAAATAGAGGCTTTAAACTTTCCAGATGAATAAGAAGTTTTTTGTCTGGATATTCTTTATTTTCTATGCCTTGAATGTCCGTTAAAAATTTCTCCAAAAAACCCGACTCTCTGATGCGTAGAAGATTTTGGGAGAAAATCCGGTAGTAAGGAAACCCTCTCCTCATATAAATTGTCAACGGCAAAAGCGCTATCTTACCTTTGATAGCATGCAAGAGGGGTTTCCCTTTTTCCTCAGAAAAATGATTTATTATGTAGTTGGAACTTTTTGTGGAGTAAGCATAGGCGGTTTTCCTTTCCTTGGCCGCAACCTTCATGCATTCATTTTCATCATAGCAATGTTTAATTTTTGTTTCGTACGGGCTGTTTCGGAAAAACCCGTGGTCCAACGAATAAGCGTAAAGTTCGAGATCACTTTTGATCAGCTGTTCTTCCATGTCGATTTTTTGCCTGTACTGGACATTTGCAAGATTGCTCGTTACGGCTGTTAAAAATATAAGGTTCAGGAAGAAATTTAACGCGATCACACAGGATATTAAAACTCTAAATGGAGTATTCCTGAGGAGTTTGATAGGGGCACCTATTAATATAGCGTAAATGGTCAAAACTATAAATCCGATTGTTACAGGGTGTTTTTTATATTTTTGACTTAAGTGAATGGCACAACCAACAAGTATTACAGTTAGTGTCACTAGAGACAAAGTGTACACATCCGATATGGTATTTTCTGATCTTATCAGGTCATACGGCACAAACCATTGAAGCGCGACATGTAACACAGGAAAGGTGTAGTAGAAATGATAGGTTCTGTTTATAGTTGCTACATAACATCCCAATATAAAATCAAACCTATTTTCGTCAAACTGCTGAAGAGCCCCAGTGGCCGTCCCATTTGGCAAAACAGTACCATAGTTGGAAGTTTCTTCCGAAACTACAATGTGGACTTTTATTTTTGTTATTTCCGCCAGTAGAGCCAACATGCTATGCTCCAGGCCTTTACTTTCGAAATAGTCGTATTTAATCAGCTCATTGCTTGTGACATTTATGAAATAGGGCTGGTAGGTCATATAGGTGGCCGTATATGTTTCCCTGGGCTTATTTTGAATGATGGTTACGTTTTTTCCAGGACAAAGTGGAACAACTCCATTCCAAGAACAAGTTTGTGTGTAACAATATACTCCTTTAAATATATAAACTTCATCGTAGGTTGTGAGAAGAATCGCGTTCATGTCCTCCCATGCAATAATGTCTATAACATCATCGAGTAAAGTTTGTGTTTGATTTAAAACTGTGATGAAAAACTTCGTGTGGTGATTCCAATTTCGGTTATAATTTTTGAGATATTTTATAATGCTTAGTAAGTTTTCTTTGCAGGCTATGCTGAAAAAATAGTTTACATCTACTCTAATTTTCCACATGTAATTTTCTGTTTTCCTGGCATCCATCAAATATACTGGCCATAAGAAATTTTGTACAAAATTGTTCGTCACAAAATCTTGAACGTAGTATTTTTCGTCTAGGAGAAAAAATATTGGGTGGGTAAAATTATTTGTTTTCAATATAAAATTTTCCATTAAATTGTTTATGCATTCTGACAATGCCAACGTAGGCACGAAAAATAGGAAAATCAATAATAAACTACCATGAAGCATTTTGGAATTTCACTAATTTCGATTCAACTATTATTATAATAAATTAGAAAAATATTATCGATTTACATTAACAATTCAACAATTTCATTAGGATAAAAATTCTGCATTATTTATTAGTAATTATTTTAAGTAAAAATGTTTATAATTAGAAATTTTATATAAGGTGATTCTACACTATAAACAGATTGTATTCCAAGATCGGGAATTAAAATGAACTCTCAATAAACAAATGCCCACTTTCTAAAAATTACTAATTTAATAGTTATTAGTGGCTGCTTTTTCACTTGTACCATGGTTTACCATGGAATACCATGGTATCCCAATTCTTATGTATAATTGTCCTCTGAATCCGAAAATGTCGTCAAAAGTTAAAAAAGTTTAACAGTTTTTGAGATATAGTCAATTTTCCATTTAATATGGAATTGACTATATCTCAAAAACTGCTACACTTTCATAATTTTTGACGGTATTTTTGGATTCAGGGGACAATTTTACATAAGAATTAATTAAATTTTGGGATACCATGGTTTTCCATGGTTAACCATGGTACAAGTGAAAAAGAAACCACTAATAACTATTAAATTAGTAATTTTGGAGTTATTCATTTTTTATATTTTCTGTCGTCTGTCCCCTTGTGCGCTATTATTTCCGACACTTGCAATTCAATAAAGGCGGTGGGCTTTTGTTTTTCCCACCCTCCCTTTGTTCTCCCTCATTCCTCTGCTTTGTCTGTTATTATGTCTCATGGAGAGATATTCTTTTGAAAACATTATTTTTTTTATTTGCAGCAAAACATTGCAATGTATTACGTTGCTATCGTCTTCTGTTTGATTATAACAATTGAAGCGCGGGGTCCTCACCACCCCAGGGGGGACAAAATCGTAAAAAGGCATGTTCATTACAGACCTACGAAAGAAAATGGGGAGAAGTTAACTCAAGATGACAATTTGCTTCACGATAGGGAGCATATTCAGGTAAGCAGTTACTTTACTGGTACCATTTCCTGATGTTCCAACGTCTGTCCTCCTCAATATCCAGACCTTAGTGTAGCAGATCCATGAGAAATCTCTTTTTAGGAACATCTAGAAGAACTGGTGAGCGAACCCGACCTAACGAACATGACTGACGAGCAACTAGAATTCTACTACTTTCATTTACACGACGTGGACAAAAACAACCAATTGGATGGCTTGGAAATACTCCGAGCTATCTACCACATCGACCACCACGAGCATGAAGGTGCCGGTGATGGGATCGATGAAAATGAAGAAAAAGAAGATCACGATGTCGAAACTGAATCTTCCAAGTATTACGTTGATTTAATAGACGAAGTATTAAGTGAAGATGATACTGATAATGATGGTTTTCTAAGTTATCCTGAGTATGTGGAAGGAAGAAAGAGAAAAAAACCCAATGGAAAGGATCCAGGTGAAATTAAAATGCTACACTGAGACACTTAAGAGGCCAAATGTTTATATTCCTGTTTTATTAAATAAATGTACTGCAATCCTGCAGCCTAAAACTTTTTAGAAAAAGACAACTATTTTGTTTTTTTTATATTAAATAAAACACATCATCATTTACAAAAACATTCCTGCAACCAAAACAATAAATATCCTAAAAATAATCAACAACCGACCCGTTTGTTATCCTTCTTTATTCTCCTTCATATCGCAGGATTGCTTCCTGCACAAATAAACTGTTCGCAGTTTCCTCCTGCCAATCCGGTTTCGGCTGCTGTGTCCACTTCCTGCAGCACGTACTCGTACGACGTTTCAGGATTAATCGACAACATCCTGCTGGCCTTCAGGAGCATGTCTCCTGCAGCGACGTAGCGCTTCGCTTGCTGCGGCGTTTTGCAGGAGATTTTCTGCAGGCAGCCGTTGTCTCCTGCTGAACCTAAACATAAGTCAAATAATTTAAAAACAAAAAAAATGCAGGATTTATTTTGCAGCAGGATTTTATTTTTTGCAGGATTTTTAAATGTTTGTCAAAATAACAACTTTTTGCAGGAAACATGTTACCTGTCAAATATCCCAAAAACAGCAGGATCTCTTCGTCGGATAATATTGTTTCCTCCCCATCGTTGCTCCTGGCAAGTCCACCTTTCCACGTTCCTGCTCCTAAAGATCCTGCTGCGAAAATAAGCGCTTTCAGAAGCACCAGGACAAACAAATTCGTCAAATTTAGCGAGACAACTTGCGAGTTTCCTCCTGTTGCTGTCAAACCGTATCTAGGCGACATGAAACTCGTTGCTAGGGAGGTCAGCAGGTTTTTGGTATCTAACCCCCTGCTAAAAAATTATTTATTTTTAAATTTCGATTATAAAATATATTACATCTTACCTAGATATGTCATTGTTATTACTATCACTAGCATCACTTAAAACTGCACTTTCAGCAGGAAGCAAAAATCCTGCTACAAAAAAGGCGACAGCTAATTTACCCAACATTTTGACACCCCTGTTAGAACACAAATAATGTAAATAAAACAAATTGTATGTTTATATAGTTAAAATAACTTTTCCCTCTTTTTTCCTGCAAATTAAACGACATAATGTGACAGATCGTTAAAATCATCGTTCCATTGTTTAGTGTTCTTTTGTTTATGCTCCGCAGGCCGAACAAACTGTTTTGTTTAATTTTGTTATATTAGAAATTTTTTCACTTTACGCTTTTCATTTTTTCATCTTATTTTAATAATACATTACATAAATTGTACATAATATACGTGTTATGTAAATTTTTCGTGACGGTGTTAAGAAATTGGTGGTTTATAACAATGGGTGTTATTTTGTATAATTATTTTTAATTATTTCCTATTATGGTACAAATATTGTTTTATGTTGGACAAAATTGCCAATTCTCATTAGGATGGTCAAAAGTATAAAAAATTACCTATTTCTTGCAGCTGAGGTTAGGTTTTAATGTTTTATACTTCTACTGCAAAAATGGTAAATCTATAACCTAACAATCAAAATAATGAACTCATTATATACCAGTGGCCGCTCGTCGTATAAAGCAACTAAGGCCGGGCCTCACATGTTAAAATTATAATATAATTTGAAATGTTGAATACATTACTTATTTAAATATAAAACGTTTTTAAACTAATTTCCAGTCATTAAAAGTATCAAAACATCGAATAACCATCAAAGTTTAAAATATTTCCTTTAAATTTAGCGCGCACCCCTTCCAACTTTAATTCTAAACGCTTAATACCGCATAATAGGAAAATAGTAATCCCAGAAATTTGCGCTTCATATACGTCACACATTGCCGATACAACATCATGCTCCCCACCGCTGCACGGTGCCGCCGGCACCCTCGCAAGGCGGGGATAATACTCGAATTTTTTTAGACATTGAGGCCCACAAAGTTGGGCTTGTACCACAGTATATGGAAAACAGCAGAGTCAGTCCCGAGATCTGTGCGGCTCGCTTATCAGCCGTTGTAAAAGACTGGGCGGGGCGTGGAATGTTTTAGTAAACAAAGCTTATTAATTAGATCTATGCGTGTTTATAGTTTCTTCTTTGCCTTAGCGATAAAATGGAAAGTGGTTATAAAAATGCAAGCGTATTATTGCGTTGTGAATTCATGTAAAAATAATTCAAATAATTATAAAAGATCATTTTTATTTTAATATACTATTATATTAACACACAAATACCACAGTAAAACTCACAAAAAATATAAATAAAAATATTCATATTTTTTATAGTTCAGTGTTAAATCTTTAAAGATGTCAGAATTTTTTTATTTATAATCATCTTTAAAATCTGGAGAAAATTAGGTTAGAGTAAATTTTGTTTGTCCTTATTGAAAATAATGGGCATTATTCACTCTGATTATTTAGGTCTCTCGCCTAGCGGCTTAAGACGCTAAATACTAGCCTGCATTATCTCTCGTATAAACTAATTTTATATTGAATTTTATAAAATTACATGTATGTATTTAATATTTTAGTATTCTAGTTTTTATTTATAAATATAAAAATTAAATGATTAAAAGCTATATTTAATCTCTCATTATATTTTTTATTAAGTTGCTTTTTAATTAAAACTTTATTTTACAAAACTAAAAAAATATAATATTGTCGAATTTAAAATATATTTTTTTTTTCAAAAAAAAAATTGACTATATTTTCAGGATTTCTACAGGACCTATCTCCATTTTACCCTTCGATAATATTGAAAACTAAAGGAAAAATAAAAATACTGATATTATTTCTCAAATAACTTTTATTTAAACACAAATTAATTCTCTATAAAAATACATAATATGCCTTAAGATTAATACATAAATAAACAGGTCCTATGTACAGAATTATCACTAGAAAATAGGGGTTAGTAGGGGGGGTTAAAACAGTTCTAAAAAAATTTTCAAAATCAAAATTTGTATAGAACAACCGAAAGATATAACAGAAAGAAGATCTTTCAATAGAAAATACTGTTTAAAAAATATTTTATATTTTCTGCAAAAATATAGTGTCTTTTTAGTATTTTGCTGTCAAATAGGCTTTTTCTCAAGAAATAGTGTTTTGGCTTTATAATACAATATTAATGATAAAAATTTCCATTTTGGGACTAGGTAACGAAATTATAACATTGAAAATGTTTAAGCTGACGGGGAAATGTGTGGAAACGTTTTTTCGCAGATATATTGGGAACACCTCCTTTGTTTTATCGAATCCATTACGTCTTGCAGATGATGGGATACTGCATTGGCTAGGTCAGGGTGTATGCTGCAAAAAAACAGAAAAATGTTAGATTTGTGTGTGTGTAAGCTAACATTTTTATTACTCGCCTATGCACAGTAAAAAATTTTGCCCGTGTAAAATTTTTAGTGTAGGGGTAAAAATATTAGAGTTGATTTGTAAGTGTAAAAGTTACACTACAAAATACACTAGGTAGCATTTGGTGCTTATTAACTTTATTAAACACATTTAAAGAATATGAACATTATTTATTGGTACATTAACACTATTTACTATTAAAATAAATCAAAAGGGTAGAAAAACTTAATGCGAGTGTTTATAACCCCTTTTAAATGTGTTAAATAGTGACAAAATGTAAACTACAGTGCATGCCAATTTCTGTTTTGATGTTACTAAGAGCTCTTTTTTCTTTACACTACTAGTGCCCATTGTATCACAATTAAAGTTAAATTACACCAATAGTGGCAAAATACACTGAAAAAATTGGTAATAACCGAAATGCGTTTTAAAATGTTTGGTTGGTACCTATCTACCTACGCAGTGCATGTCCGGAGATACCGCGTTGTGGAAGTGTGGCATTTTTGTTCAGTTAGATTTTAATTACGGTGAATCTATAAGAGGACATTCTTATTTTTCGGTAAGTTTTATACTTCCTTTTTTTAAGCCTTAATACTCAATAAATACCAATATGTTAAAAGGATGTCCATACCCGACCTATATTATACATCAATAATTTATGGCAGTATACTGCCTATAGGTCGGGTACTTGTAACATTAATAATATAAATACATATATGTGTGTATACACACTAGATTTACTTTTTATTTTCAAGCGTAATGGTTGTTATATTAACCTATACCTTCATTTTTATTAATATTATGGAAAATTTGTACAGGTGTGGTAAATCCCCGACATACAGCCGCCTGACGCCTCTCTACCAATGGAATCACCAATTTTAATAGCAGAAAAAGGGATTACTGATGAATTCTCAAGATAATTCATTGCTTACAAGTTGACAGCCAGTAAAACATTGCATTGATCTAAAACTTTTACGTTTTAAGGAACCATTTTGCTTAAGCCAGCCATACGACTCAAATATAAAATTATATTTTAAAAGGCACCGATTTTGATAATTGTCATAGATTTTTGTTCCAAATAAATGTTTCTCTTTATTTACCTTCTCGTTTTATTCACTATTACCAATAGATTTTATTCAAATAATAGTGTTAATTTACACTAGAAGTTTGCACTAAAAGAGTAAAGTACCTTTCTAAAATTAGAACTTTTCCAAAGTAGTGTTAATTTACACTGAACAAAAGTGAGATTTTACCCAGGAAGTGTAGAAGTACACGATTTTAGGTAAATTAACACTTTTTAATACAGTGTAAAGTTACTTTATCCTCAGTGCTTTAGTGTTAAATCATACTTGCTTACTTGGGGAAAATTACACTCTAATTGTAGTGTTATCAAACAACACTATTTAGTGTGTACCTGTGTGAACTCTAATTAGTGTTGCTTAGAGTTCATTTTTTTTTACTGTGTGGTTGCTGTTTACTTCCGAGCGCTATTCGCTATTCATTTAAAATTTACTAAAAAATATTACAACGTTAAAAACGTCACTTTCACGATTTGTGATTTTTTGTAGGTAATACTGGCAGGTACATGAACCTGGCGTACAATTAAAGATGACCCAAACAAGCCTGTGAATACGGTCACGAGCGCTTGGAATGTCTGGTGCCGCCAGGCAAGGCAAGGCGAAAACAAAAACGAAATATTACTTTCACTAAAACGTACCTACATATGCACCGCACCAGACAAGCTGGAACCTTCTTCGCATTTTGGTTCACACGCGCATCTCTGCTTGAAAAATTTCGATCTTATTTCTTTTAATTAATCATTATTTAAATTGATTCACATGAAATATTAGTCTTTTGTTATGCATATTGCTAAAGTTTTGCTAAACTCGCAGAACAATTAATTTATTATTTTAATTTTATAAGTAGCATTCTAAGCAAAATATAAGTAAAATAACGTTTTTTAAACTTGGTGTATTCAAACATGTTTTAAGAAATTTACCACCCGGTTTCTATAACCTTAATGTAAATGTAAAGGTTATTTTTAAGTATAAATTAACTAATAAAAGAAACCTATTGGTAATATTACTAAGTAAATTAAGGTTATTTCAAGAGTAAATTATAAATAAACCAAATAATTAACGAATTAGTAAAATTACTCATTAGTTAAAAAGTAGGTTATTTTAAAAGTTACATTACGTTATATTAACTTCAAATTTTAACCTTACCTTACTAGTTATTTTTTTAAACTTATTTTGGTTTATTTTAACTTTTGGATTTAATTTTTAAACCAACAAATTATATTTTACCAAATATATTTTAACTCGCTGGTAAATTGACAGTTAAATTAATTTTGCAGTTTTCATTGTTACCTGCATAAAAATTAGTCTCAATACAGCTTTATATATAAACCGATGGGTTGTGTGATAATGGAGCCTAAAAGAAATAATTTTAAAAATATAGACTTTCTTCCACTTAGGTAAGTACTACAGAAGATAATTATTTATCTTAAAATCTTAAAACAGTAACCTCACGTGATCACATTTAAATAATTTGGTAACCCAAGCAGCATTTTAAGTTTAAATAACTACAAATTTACTACCAAGTCAACTTTAAAGTATTTTTTACGGTTATCCAAAACGGTTTTGTAACGGTATAAATACGAAAAATTACCAAATTTGGGGAATGGTTTATTTCGTTATTTTACCTACTTAATAATCTTTTTGATCTACTAAGAGAATAACGTAATAAAAACATTATAAATACCACAAATTTACGTAAAAATAACGCTATAATTACTAACTGTTTACTCTCTCTTTCTAAAACATCGTAATTTCTTTGTTGTTTTAATTTATATTTTACAAAATGGTACTTACAAAGTAATAAAGGCCACCCTAAAGTAAAATTAAACAATTGTCAAAACTAATAATATATTTTGCAATAAAAAATTATATGCCCTCTAAATATTGTACGGTTTTAAGAAAAATTATTGCTTGGGTAAAAATTCAACAAAACTTAAAATCTACAAAATTTTATTAAAACTTTTAAAAATCATTAGATTTAATCATTTTTTAATAACTAAAACTTTCCTTATTATATTTTAGAAAAATATTTATGAACAAATATTATATAAATGTTTAGATAAGAAATGGATGCCATCTTAAAAAACTCATTATGGCGACTTGAAAAAAATTTTCCCTTGAAGTTTTATTTTTCACTTTAAGCTTATTTTTCCTTGTTTGGTCAATATTAATAGTAGTTATTACGACTAATAACCCTAAAAAATACCAGGCGAATAGGAATTATTTACGGTTATAAAGTGGTCTTAATATCGTAAAATTGTGACTTATGAGTAACATTTACCATTAAGTAAAAATTCTGACGTTAAAATTACCTTTAAATTTTCCTTTAGGTGAAATACACTTAATTAGTAATTTTCTTTCGTAAAAATTACGCCCCTTATAATACTTTAAAGTTTTGAAACTTAAGAGTTATAAAAAAGGTAAAAATAACATAAATAAAAGTTATTAAATAACTTTAAAAAAAGTTTTACTTCAAAGTAAATTTTTAAGGTTGATTTAACAAAATATTTACTTAAATTAAGTAATATTGCCTCAAAGCTCTACGCTTTTAGTTATTTTAAAAATAACAAGTTAGTTTAATTTAACTAATTTTGGTACTTATTAACTATAATGTGTATAATTCTAACAAAAGGAAATGCAAAAAATATTAACCTTGAAGTTAAATTTAACCAACATAACGTTAATTTTACCATAATAAATTAATAACTTATTACAAAAGGTTAATTTAACGTTGTAGCAAAATATTAATTAAATGAATTAACCAGGCATAAGGTAAATTTAACGTTAATTTAACCAGTTGTGCTACTTGGGTAGTCTTAAAATTAGTTGGTAGTTTGTTACATCCAGCATATTGTAATAGGATTGACATCACAAATTCTGCTAGAGAAACCCTTTCATTTGAGATTCATATCAACGGAGTTTTAAATACATTACAATATTGCGTCATCAGCACCAACAGTGTGTTTTTTTAATAAATTTTAAAGAAATGTTACTTTGCTATATTGTAAACGCTTTATTTGACTTAAAAGCAAAATTTTATAAATTTTCAAAATATTTCTTCATTTTTGCTCACTGTGCGTCGAAGAAAATCGTTCTTCGGAGGATCGTGCTTTCTCCGGTGACCTACAAACGGCCGATGGTGCATGACTATAGTCAATGGGACTCGATTAAAAACTACTTTCTACCTTTTAATTGTCCACCTCGAATTTCTGACGATACTTATACTAACAAGTGCATGCGATTGCGTAAGATAAACAAAAAGCGGCAAAAGAAGAAACAAAGATATTTTTCGAAGAACTTTTTTAATATTTGTTAAAGTGACTTGTTACTTGCATTTTCAACGAAAGTAAACGTAAAGAAAATTAATTAAAATAAGTGGAACATTCTAATAAGACTTCAAACATCAATTAGTGGCTAATGGATGTTTTTTGATGTTAATCAATTTTTGAATCATCTTAAACCATATGGTTCATATACAATTTCTATTTTTTCAATCATCATCATTAACAACTTTATAGATTGGTAGGTAACAGCCATTTGTAAAACCAGGAAATTGTTTTTATAGTAAATAACTTAATTACCTGGATAGTAAAGTATCCATCTTCTTCTCCATTAGAACGACTTCGTCGGAATTCTGATGAATCATGACCTCACAAAAAATTCTTTTCGAACAAGGCGTATCGCTCCAATAATGAGCCGCTGATAATTGCTTTAGACTCGAATCCTTTTCCACAGATTTTTCCAATTCTTGCATATAATACTCATCTTCCACGTTCCTTTTCGTTCTTCTTTGCCTTAGTTGAGATTCTTCAAGCATGTCTCTGTGGATGTTGGATACGATTTTTTCCATGTAGTAATCATTGATGCTTCGTTTGGGTCTTTTGTGTTCCTGGTTGTTTTCCATGATGAAAACTATGTCGTTGGGGTTGACTCCTTGTAGAGATCTCATTTCTTCCGGGCTCAGAAACTTGCCCAGCGCTGAAGCTCCCAACCCTAAAACCATAAACTCTATTTTAAATTAATTTACAATCTACAATCAAAATGGTTACCTAAAGCCGCTCCACCTGCTACTAATCCTAAGGCTGGTAGAATAACACTGCCACCCATAGGGGCTACGAAACCCACTTTGTCCTGGGCACGTTGAGAACTATCCTTACTGAAGCCCAGGTTGTGAGAAATCTTATGCGTTGCTTCCATAATGGGATCGAAAACCGGTCTCGTAATTTGTTGCATTCGCTCGAAACCGCTTTGAACGTTATCTTTGATACTTTCGGTGATTTTAATCCAGAAAGGTTGCTCGGCTTTTGGTTTCGATATGTAGTACGTGTTGTAGGGGTAGTTCATTACATCCCGTTTGTAGTATTCCACCGGGCTGTCATAATATTGGTTCTGTCTTCCGGAGTTGATGCTGTTGTAGTTTTGCTCTTGGTAGGATTCCTCTTCTTCGTTAGTGGCTTTGGCTGGTTGCACTCCCAACTCTGGATGTGCATATTGTAAAACTGGAGTTCTGACGCCTTCGTTGAACGTAACAGGGCTCAACTTTGTGCTTGGAGTGTATAATTGGGACGTTGGGTAATAGGTTTGGCCTGGGTACTGCAACATTCTTCTTTGGATCTGTTGAGGTTGTTCGTACGCTCTGTACTGTCTTTTGGTGAAGTAGTCCTTCTTTGATTCTTTAGCGTTGATTTCTTTAATGTAGTCTATCAATTTACCTCCTGATAGTCTTGCGTTGTCAGCTTTGGTATATGGTCCACTACTTGAGATTTTAACAAAGTCTGTTCGTTGTTGATCAATTTGCTGTGGTAAGTTATCTGATACAGTGAATGGTCCAATGGGGCCTTCATTGGGCTTTTCGGTACTAAAATTATCCTCCTTACTAAACGGACCAACTGCTCTAACCTCCTCCTTCTCCTTCTTAACTTGACTCGCGTATACCAACTGTCCAATAGGCACCGCTGCTGGAGGTTTGTAATCCTTTTCATAGGGAACCAATTCTCCATTAATGACGCGAGCGTTACGCCACGTCTTCTTATCGGATTCATCATCAGGCACTCTTACTCCATGGATTACTGGGATTCCATCACTATCGATTTTCATGACGGACCTGCCGCGTTTTTTATCCGCGTTTTTGACGAAGACTTCGTCTGATGTGATAGTCACGGGTTTTGGGACATGAGGTAACCTAAAAGTAGATGTTGTAAGACAAGTTCAATTGAGTTAAATACTATCAGAAAATCTTAAAATTTGGACTTATTTACAATTAAGTTCACAGTTGCTTATGAAAAGGTGAAAAAATTCGCATTAAATCTGATGCATTTTGAAAGAAAACATTCCAAATTATAATGTGCGACAAAAAAGACTAGAAGAAACGCGTATTTATTAAGTTAATTAGTGTTCAAAATTTGTACTCAAGTGAACTGGCTGAATGATTATTGTGTCAATCTGTCAATCATTGTGTCAATCTGTCAATCGTTTTGCCACGTTGGGATTTGAGATTATTTATCGGAGTATTGGTGGATTGCGTCACAATCCCGAAAAAATTGTTAATTATCACGTTATAAGTGTGTTTTCTTCTAACTTTGCCACTGTAACACCCGAAACGAAAAATCGTGTAATTGTTTTAATATTATACCTTTCAGATTGATTAGTGTAATAATATTTAGTAAAAGTAACTTTATGGTGGTAATGATTTAAAATACCAACTAATATCTGACCATGAGACTAATTTGATATGTGTTTTTCTTGATTAAACCAGAAACGTTTCGTTTTTTTCATATGTCGATATATGTGTGTGTATTGCTTGAAGAATGCAATAAATATTATTTTTAAGGCTCTTTCGACGGCCCACTAGCGCCGCCATCGGAAAAACAGTCACACCTCTTTTACAGAGGTGTGACTGCTTTTCCGATGGTGTTATCGAACCTACCGAAATTTCGGTATTTCTACCTAAATGGCAACGGACCTACCAAAATACCAAATACTTAGATTTTCGTCAATAATTATGTTTCTACCGATTTTCGGCAATAATAACGATTTTACCCTTTTTGCCAATTTATCAATCTGCTTAAGTTATGTTTAAGGAGAATTCATTCTATTTATGTTTATTTGTTACTAACCTATTTTGTAGTACCTGAAGACTAATAAAACAACGATTATGTCCATATAAAGCGTTTAATTTTTGTACTTGTAACACCCGAAACAGAACCATGATAACACCCAAAACAAAGTAAAATTTTATGAAAAAAATTGTTAAAATCTTACTTGTGACAGTGATTATGTGGTAGATGGTTAGTAAATATTATACTTTTGGAGGCCTGTAATTTTTATCAATGTTTCCCTAAGAAAATTCGCTGAATTTCAAATAAATGTAACAATGGTAAGGTTTTCCTATATGCTAAACTGCACTAATTTTACAATTTAGATAAAAAAACTAAAAACGTCTTTGGTTGAATAAATGTAACACCCGAAACGATGGAATGACCCTTATACAATATCAATAATAGTTTAAAAGCTAGTTGTAAAAAACATTTTATGCAAGTTTATTGTATTTTCACGTGTCTTTACATGCTTTACACCTATTTTATTGCCTCATAGACAACGACGAAGTTGAATGTCAATTAATTAAATTGTAGAAAATAAATAAAGCCATAAAAATCTTACATAACCGAACATTCTTAATGAATGAATGATGCGATGAAGAAGAAAATTCTTACCTGTCGCTGTCAATAACATTCCCTAAATTGTTGTTGGTGCTGTATTTTCCGTCACTGGCATTCCTTACTAGAGCTATGGTGTCCAAAGTAATAATCTTTGGCTTAAAATAGCTAGATGTCGAGTATGGTACCCAGTTGGCATACAGAGCCCTACTAAAGTGAGGTTTGTCCACTTTGTTTGTTGATTCAACATTTTGGCCAGCAGTCTGCCTGGATTTGGCATCTCTTCTTTTTACTATGAGTTGAGCGACGTTGCCATCTCTTGTCATTACATTTAAAGTTTGTGTGTCTTCAGGGTTTAGACTTCTTGACACTTTTATTTCGGTTCTTGTCATTGTTACTGGGGCTTTTTCGTTTTGTGATTCAGATATAGCTATAGTTGATAGTATTAGGAGCACCTACAACAAAATTAAAACAAAAAAATTTTAATGATCTTTTCACCGCAATTTCACATAATTTATGTATGCACTTTTAAGAAATTAATGTAGCGATTTTTTATTTATTTTAGTAAGTTATTTTATACTTATAGACTGATAAGTTCGAACACCCGGTCTTTGAAAGGTGAAAGTAGGTAATATTTTCAATGTTATTGACTTCTTATAGATGATGACTTTCTTCTTTTGGGTTCAAATGTGTTTTAATCAAAATTAAGTCGCAAAATTAAATCCTCAAGTTTAACCGAAAAATAATCATTCAAGCAAAATTGTTATTAAAAAAAGTGAAATTATAAACCAAGAAAAGTAAATTAAACAACAATAATTATTATGTATGATGATGTACTTATATGATTTAACCCAGAAATTTATTGTTAAAAGAGAAGAATCAGAGCATCATATGTATATGAGTTCTAAATTAGTGCTATGGTTAATTCCTATTATTATTATATCTGCATTTGTTGCTAATTGCCTACAATGCTTTTTCTTAACAATAGAATCAAGTAGCATTTAAGAGATCACTACTAGATTAAATGATTATACAGTACATTATTCCTGTAGCTACTTAACTCAATTTTTTTAAATGTCATTTGGTTTCATAAAATTGTATAAGTCATTAGAATTGTCTTTTTATATTTAATAGTTTTTACTCCAACTCCAAACATTTATCTGTTGCCTACATTGCTAACAAAGCCTTACATGAAATCTTAGTTTGATTCACAGCCTGGTTTTTTATAAATGCATTAAAAATAATAAAAACAATAAAATTACACATATTCTTGATACCTGACCATGAATGAAATAGAAAATCTTGACCCAATACCATAGATAGGATATATTTTATTATAGTAGGTAATATCTTTGTAAATACATTGAAGTTATATCCACTTTTCTAGGAGGAATAATAATACCTATATGTATCTAATTTGTATGTTTATTAATAAGCAAGGCCACACACTAAATACCATAAATTATTTTTTCTACTCCCACCTTTAAAACGACCATTATCTTACATGTTTTCATGACACCAAGTGACCTTTTAAATATACATTGACAAGTTGTGGCTTTATGGCCTTTTAGTCACGGGCTGAAGTTAGCAACAGGTTTTTAGTCAAGGGCTGAAGTTAGTTTTAAGTTGTCAAATGTCAATCGTTAAAATAAAGTGCCCTTTTTGTAAAATAATACTAAATGTAAACATTATTTTATTATCTCAATACAAAATTATTAAATAGTTTCTCAACGGCAATATTTAAAGAGTTTATATGAACATTGTTCTGACATTTTAATTTCGACGTAAGTAAAGTAGATTTAACTAAATTTCGGGTGGAGACCACCGTGGAAGGCCAATAAAACATTTTTTATTTTCACTGTAAAAAAACTGCTTCCAAATCGCATTAAATGGTCAATTTTTAAGGGATACATTTCGATTTAGAAATAAAAACTTGACATTTGACATAATACCGATTGGTTACTCTATTGTTTTATAGATGTCACTCTATACAAATATTTAATTTAAGTAAATCATTTTTAGATAATAATAAGTATTTGTCGTAGAAAAAGTATAGAATTTTTAGACACTAATTTAATTAAGCACTCGTTTGCAAGCTCGCTCGTGCCTAAATTAAAATGGCGTTTATCTAACTTGATACATAATATACTATAAAAACATAAAAAGTGATAACAACAATGTTTTTACGAAATTTGTAGAGAATAAAATTTATATTTTTTCTGTAAAATGTATATTTTTCAAAATTAGCCAATTTTTGTTATATATTTTTTTTAAATATACAAATCTCTCAATCTTGAAAAAAGTTATAGTAGCGGTTCTAAAAAACTTTATATTTTTGGCTGCCAATCAGAGTATATTAAATTTCAAAATATAATTACTTAGTTAATTATAACTTTTATTAAGCTAATTTCACACTTTTACTGGCAAAATAAAAACGTAACTGCCTAGAAATCACGTTTAAAACTAAAAGTGACTAACGAAATTAAACACCTCGTAAATAAGTGAGACTTTCACTACCTAGGCCATGCACATTTATCTAGCCGATAATTTATGTTCAATTGCCGTAAAATAAGCGACATTTGTTATTAATCGTTATAAATAATTGTGAGAAAATTTTTCGTAGATAATAAAAATGTTTTCTCCAAAAGTTTTATTTAAAAATATTTTTGTAAAATAGATTGATATTTTTTGTTTTAAAATTTTTTTCAATATTTGATACTTAATAAAAATAAAAAAACTTATTTTGCTGCCCTTTTTGGACCCCCAAAACTACCCTTAATAATAAAATCAGAATTACCTTGAGTAGCTCCATTTTCGTGCTGTTTCTTTAATAAGTGGACGTCTGATAACTGCTTTATTGTTTTCACTGTATTTTCACCACACTCCACGCGTAGCACCGGCGTAAATTTTTTATAATAACGTTACAACTTTCTTCAATCTGAACCGTCGAAAGCGCGTTTAAACACTGAGTTTGGATTTCATTTTTGATCTTCATTGGTGAATGAATGCTGTCGGCGAGAAGAAATGGGAAGAAATTATTTTTATTGGTGGGGGGAGTTCGATGCATTTTTGTTTTTTTACGAAGAAATATGTATATAATAGTAAAATTGTTAGGTCAACATTTTAGGAAACAAATATTATTTTACGACATGTTTTTTTATTTTAAAGGGTACCTACGGAGGTGATAGTAAATTAAATCTAAATTGTTGATTTAGGAAAAATATTTTTAGGGAGGCACATAACTACGATTTAAAGGTGTTCTTAACACATTAAAAAAGAAATATTAGCGAAAATTACCGTAAATATAAATTTTGAACCGTTGAAATTTTAATTCTAAAAAACGAATTTATTTTGTTAAAAACATAATTTTTTAAGGGAAAAACTTTATAAGTGTATATAATTTTTTTTTTAATTTATTAGAATATATGTATACGGAATTTCTACAATATAGCAAAACCCAAATTTGTGTAAAACAATTATTAATAATAAAATAAACTTTTTTTACTGTTAATAAAATTCTCATTTACTATAATGAAGCAGCAATGTTGAGCTTTTATTAAAAAAATGATCATCCATCAAAGTAATAGTTGTTATCATATTGTCATGGCAATAAGAAATAATTTATGATTATATTAAATCTTTGTCGAACTTAAAATGTTTTTATTAAACTTATAGTTGTGTGTGAATTGCGCTTACATAAAGTAATGCGCAGTTGTTATAGTAAAATTTGTTAATTTTACTACGGCACATTTGTCTTTTTTAAATTACTATCTTTGTAATTCAAATTAATTTTATTTAAGTTAGAAAATCTTTGTTAATAGCTTACGTTAAGAACAATAACAAAAATATTTTATTGCTACAAAAAGACGTTTTAAATATTTACTATTGCAATGGTAACAAAATTTTTGTTAATTTCCTTAAAAAGAGGGAGAAAGGGCCAGCGCTCTCCTTGGTGAACATAACTTTATAGTTATAATCTTATTGATTTTACTTGTGCAAGTGAAGTGTGGTAAAATTTAGCATGATAAAAATATCAAAAAGATCACTAAGAAAATTAAAATTTCGACGTTTTCTAAAAGAAACATTTAAGGTATATTCTATAAACGACTTGTTTTTTAAAAAGTGAGTTCATATTTTATTTATTTTGAACATCATAAAATATGAGATAATTTTTTTGTTATAATAAATAATTTGTTTTAATGCCTTGCAATTATGAAATGAAATTAGTTTATTGAATTAACAATTAATTTGTTGTTAAATTTACATAAATTTTATTAATATTATAAATAAAGTTTTATTTTATACGAAAAGGGATTTGTAAAATTTACAAAATTTCTATGAATAGTACCATTAGGGTTTCATTAATACTACAAAACGTTTTTGTAAACGATATACCTAGAACTATTTTTGGACAAATAATAATAACTATATTTATCAATGCCTTTCTGCATCTGTTATATTGATTAATAAAGTTTGTTATACAAATTTTATTATATTTTATATATGTACATAAAATATGTGAATAGAATATTCTCATTGAAATGGACACCTTGACAAACATTTGTTATTAATAATAAAATTGTATTGCTATACTAAGGTTACATTTAATAGAAAATGGTTAGAGAAAATCGGTAAACAACACTAATTCCAAGTAGCACTGGCAATTGGTTAAATAGGTAACTAGGATTCTAAGTAAATTAACCAAAATCTAAGTAAAATAACGTTTTTTTAACTTGTTTTTTAACCAATTAGTTGTATTCAACCAATAAAATTTTTTTAAGGCTACAATTAACCAAAAAATAACACATTCAATTTACCAACCAGTTGCTGTAATCTTAAGGTAAATTCAATGGTAATTTTTAGAATAATTTATCTAATAAAAGAAACCTATTGGTAATATTACTAACTAGTTAAACATTTCATTTATTTATAGTCAATTTAAACTCTTGAAATTTAAATTGACTATAAATATATAACTAGTAAGTAATATTACTTATAAGTTAAAAAGTAGGTTATCCTTTTTTTTAAAGCGCATTTAAATTATAAAAGTATTATGTACTACTTCATCAGGCAAAAAAATGTTTGTCAACCTAATTTAATTAATAATATACAGGGTGTCCGGTACCTAATTAAAATTAAACTTCAATGTATTATGTTTTCGGAACTACCCGTGGATATAAAAATTCCAACAAAATTAAACAAAATTCATAAAAGCAATGAGAAGAGATAAAAATTCATAGATTACAATTCGTAGATACCAATAATTATTATCGATTTGCTAATAATCCCCTACAAGTGAAAAAACTGGTTACATCATAAACAATTCTGACTGCGGGGAAACCAAAGAATTTTTCGGTGTGATGCAGACTGCTAAAAAATTCCCCGGCAGCAAAGAAATTTTTACGAACCCATTCATTGACGGCAGTACCTTCAGTAAAGAAAGTGAGCCAATTTTAGATGTGGCAATTAAATAATTTTTACAGGAAATGCCGCCGGGGCTTAGTACTGCGGCAGTTTTTATTGGCCCCATGTAATTAACTATGTTCACCGGTCAAAGATATAATTATTTTTAAATAACGAAAAAATTTTAAAAAATAATTGGTATACCAAAAGATTCATTTTTCCAAAAAATCGTGTTTTCTACATATACATATATACCGGGTGTATCTGAGAATAGGCGCACCCCTGTAACTTTTTTATTTATAAAGATAGACACATGAAATTTAGCATGGTTAATTAGGATATAAAATGCCACTTATTATAAGTGACTTATAAGAGTACAAAATGAATTTTTTGAACTTCCGGTCTCGCCGGAAATGATACCAACTTACGAAACGTCGAAAGGTCAATTTGAGGATGCTGTCTAACTCAGAATTTCCTCAGGATTCCAAATATGTAAAAATATATAGGGCATTCCATTTAAAAACTTTATTTGGCTTTTTGGTTTCTCCTTACAAGCTCTTCATATTAGACCTTCAAAAAAATATATTTAAATTTTTTTAATTTCGCACAATCTACAATTCTATTTTTGTATAACAAAATGGAAGTTTCTCATCGTGAATGGTATTTTTATAACAAGCAGAAGAAATTATGAAAAGTGACTTTTCTTCGAAAAATTGAAAATAAATATTTTTAAGTATACTTAACTATATATATTTAAGTCCATCCGTGGTATATACTAGTTCTATCAAAAACTCTAAATTAAATTGTGATGTTTTTTTAAGGTGATTTTCAAAACAACCGGTACCTACAAACTGATCACTGGAATACCGAAAGGTCAATTTGAGGATGCTGTCTAACTCAGAATTTCCTCAGGATTCCAAATATGTAAAAATATATAGGGCATTCCATTTAAAAACTTTATTTGGCTTTTTGGTTTCTCCTTACAAGCTCTTCATATTAGACCTTCAAAAAAATATATTTAAATTTTTTTAATTTCGCACAATCTACAATTCTATTTTTGTATAACAAAATGGAAGTTTCTCATCGTGAATGGTATTTTTATAACAAGCAGAAGAAATTATGAAAAGTGACTTTTCTTCGAAAAATTGAAAATAAATATTTTTAAGTATACTTAACTATATATATTTAAGTCCATCCGTGGTATATACTAGTTCTATCAAAAACTATAAATTAAATTGTGATGTTTTTTTAAGGTGATTTTCAAAACAACCGGTACCTACAAACTGATCACTGGAATACCTATAGCAAAATAAAATCAAAAGTTTTTCGTTGGACTTTTTTTGGTAAAATCGTTTAAAGAATGCGACTGCCATCTGTGTGGTCACTTGTGGAACGCCGAAGAATTATAAGAAAGTTGTTTAGGTGATAAAATATACCGAATACAGCACATTCCGATAATTTTTTACTTTCCTAGACATGTGGTCACTTTCTATGTAATTATTTGGCTTTTGCCGACTGCAAACATCGCAAACAGTTTTGGAAATATTTCTACACTGTACAGTGTACACAGAGGAACCACAAAAATACCATGCCACAGGTTTTTCCGAAACTTCAAACATTTGGCAACGCTGTATGGCGAGCTTGCGAGCGAGTGCTCAATTAAATGAGTGCCTAGAAAAGTTTATAAACTTTTCTACGACGATCACAATAAACATTTTTGACGTAATTTTCACAATTATTATTTATTATTATTTTAATTAAACTTAAAAATTATTGATACTTAAAATATTAAAATAACTTCAAAATATGAATATTTTAAGAAAATATGTTATCCTTTGATTTTTTTTATTATTATAATTGCAATATATTATAACAAAGTATTAAAAATTGTTACACGGTAAATGTTAAAGTTACAAAAAGTGACAGTTGTATTTATTGAAATTCCCGTTGGAATTTCCAACTTGGGAATCTACCGGCGTTAAAATCTCAAATTTTTCTGTGGAAATCAAAATTTATCCCTTGAAAATAGACTAACAATAGATATAGAAGGCGTTTTTCACAGTAAAAAAGAAGAGAATATTTTATGGGCACTGTAGGCAAAAAAAAGGTCAGTACAAACGTTCAGATATTGAGATAATAAATAATTTTCACATTTAGTATTATTTTTATTAAGAAAAGCACTTCATTTTAACGATTGTATGACATTTGACAACTGTCAACTAACTTAAGACTAAGTGTTGCTAACTTCAGCCCGTGACTAAAGCGCCATAAAGCCACAGCTTGTCAATGTGTATTTAAAAGATAACTTAGTGCCAATTTGGAAGCAGAAAAATGGTTTATGGATTATTTTCTGTTAAAAAATTAAAACTTTAAATCAAATAACTTTATAATATAAAGTTATTAATATTATTACTTACACATTTACTTGACTTGACAGTAAAAAATCTTTCCAAGTAAGTAATATACACAGTTTTTATTATATATAAAAGATTAAAATAATACCTCTTGTTTTGTTGTGCCATTTTCGGGACACCATGTATATTTCACAAAAATATTGGTTTGATATATATTTTTTTTAAATATAAATATTTATTATTAAAAATGAATAAAGAAATTGCAACATGTTGATAATGATATTCAAAATTAA